AACTATAACACAAATTTGGATTTCCATCGCTTGATTCAATGAACAATAAGATTGTATTACTTATAGTTTTCGTATTGTTAGCATGGAAGGAGCTTCCAAATGATCACACTTGATTTTTTAAACCCTGCATAGGAGAGCAGATGAATGATTTGAGAGTGAGGGGAAAGTTGGGACCCCCTTTCAAGTAAATATGACGTGATGTTTTTCAGTATAGTTTGTAAATTTTCTTTTATTAATTTTTCGGAAATTGATTAGTGGGATGTTCAAATTTTAGTACAACTCACTGGATTTTCTACACAGAAAATTATTACCAGACCTCAAAACAATACTAGAACAATCTAAGCGCATATACCTACAAGGATTTATTAATTAAAATGTTTGAATCCAATGTAATCCTCTTCTAAACGGCATGTTCCCACTATTTGTTTTTCACGTTCCTTTTCTCTTAATTTAAACCCGTTGGCACTTTTAAACTTTTGAATTACACGTCTGCCCATTTATCTTTTACTGCTTGGTTTCGAGAACATTAATTCGTTACTGTTGACCATCACTCGCTCGTGTTACTTTAATATATAGGAAAACCAGGATTCGGATTACATAAAAACAGGAACCTAACAGGCATTTAATCAAGCTAATGAAGATAATGGCATTTCCTCGTCTTCTAGAATTTACACGAAATGTTGCATTTTTAATTTTCCTAATGGCTGATGGCGGTGGTATCTACACATAAGTATCTACACAACGCTATTTTACGAAGAACACTAAAATCTTGGACGCAATTCATATTCTGTCGCCTAAAATACTACATTTGACGAAATTAAAAAATAGGTTCATTAAATCGTACCTAGGGAACGGAAACAGGAAGTTAATCTGCAACTGCACGTAGATATATTGACCGGTAGCCGAGCGGAACTTCCGGTGGACCGGAAACATAAAAAGAGACCGACCGCAATTGCTCTCAGGTTTAGCAAGACCTCGCTTTTGACAAATACACTTTAACTCAAATTTCCAGAAAGGAAAGACGTTAATCATTCGAACACTAACGGTCCGTGTGATTATTTTTTCTCCGGCACTTACGTGAAGGTGGCTGCGATTAGAATGTTAATAGGATGATATGACACATTCCGATCGTTGGCAGTTAGAAGGAAGTGCCGCCTTTTCGTGGTAACCTCTGACCATCGCTGGCACCTGCCATCAGATAGAGATATCATTACAAGTGATTGCTGTTGAATAGTTGCCTTTTGTTAGACTTATCCTACGTTCATGCCGTAAGATTCGCGCGGTCGCGCTATAATGAATTATGATGTGAATTTTCGCGGTGGAATTACTGTTTCGCTTTCTCATTTGAAAAACATTCTAATCCAGCTTCCACGCAGCTAGAAAAATGTAGTCCACTAAACTAAACCAACATTTTACTGTCTTGCATAGCCCAGTACTCTCAAACACCCTATCTGTTTATCTGTGCAGTATTAGGAACAGGATAACTTTAAGAATGAATTCTATTTTGATGTCGTAAGCTTGTTCACCGTCTCTCATCTGTTAAAATTATGGCAAAAACGTCACGGGGAGCTTGCTTATGACTTTCATTGCCTTACCATCCAATCTACTCTCCAGATTTCGCACATTTTGCAACTTATTCTCAAAAATTTGAAGGGTCAAAGATTTTGGAAGAATGAAGATACCTGTGAAGTTGAGGAGACATTTGCATTAAATACGATACCTAACTAACTAATGTGGATGGATTTGAAAACTGGTACACATGGATTACAATAAGCCCGCTTCAGACCAATTATTTTCAGTGAAACTGTCTAAGAAATTTGTCCAGTGTTGTTCATATCAAATTTTGTCCTGAAAATGTGAAAACTGTTTTTTTTATAGAACCCCTCTTTTTTTGGTTCATCAATGGATATTCTACACCAAACAACAAAGGCAGTTTGTAAAATTAAATTACTGTATCTGAAATCAACGAAGTATACAGGGTGGGTCATTAGTACGTGGGTGGAAGATTGTGGGTTTATTAACATATGTCGAAGTATGTTGAAAGACTCTTATGGCAACAACCTAAACATATTTTCAACGAAATTCCAATTGTTATACAGGGTCATTTATATCAAAGTTGCATTTTTTAATAGAACCCCCTGTATATTTTACTTATTTCAACCGGTTGATTGCGATCGACCGTTTGAGCACCACTGTCTTAGAGCATTGATTTGTTTTAAGGAAATTTTGCTATTATTAATCGTTTTTTCGTTTGTGTTTCTAGTTTAGAAAGCAGCTGCCGGATATTAGTAATTTATTTTTAGTTTCTTTTTTCATATTGATCTGGATGGATTATTTGGTTTTGTAAAACAATTTCCACATTTTTTCTGATTTTGTAATTTTGAATTTTAGTTTAATTTTGACATCAATTGGCATTACGCATGTAATTGTTGTTAAGGAATGGTTTTTATAAACAAATCTAAAATGTTGCTGAGGATATTTCTTTGGGCCGAGTTTATTTGTTTTTTATTTTACGTGTTACCCAAAAGTTATCTTGAATTTTCTAGTATAAAAGTCCGCATAAACGTTCTTTCAGGTTTTGTACAAAACTTAGTCGTACAAACGGCATTTCAAAAGTTAGGGCTTAAAACGGATCCTTACAGCATCCTTTTTTTTGTCAATTGGTCTTGTAGCAGGTAATGTGGTCTTGTAAATATTTTCTTTAAATTTAAATCGTTAAATTTCGTTAAATTTAATAAATAGGTGTAGCAATTTAAATTGTTTAATTCGCAGATGATAGAAGGCTACCATACATTGTCGATAGGTACAGCTAAGACATATTTTTTATTTGAGTTTTTTTACTTGTTTCAAGAGTTCTATTATAGCGTTTTTCGTTGATCTACGTAAACTGAGTTACGTCAATTTATTTTCCTTTTCTAAGAAGTAATTCACCTACCGTTTATTAATTTTTGCGGTATCTCTCCAAAGCAAGACAGCAATATTATTGGGCGATGGTTTGAAGTATCTAGAAAAGGGGCGTTATAAATGTTTTTAAATTTTCTAATTTTCTAATAAAATTATAAATTTGTTTATAATTTCCGCGTTAACCTTATCGGGGGCTTGGTGTTTTCTTTTTGTTTAAAAATAGCGTTTTTAATCGCACTATGGGTAAATTGTTATAATTTGGAGTGGTATTTTTTGAAATTGTTCTTTCTAAAATTTCATCAATCGCCCCCCCCCCCTTTCTCAATGGCTCTTCATTTCAGGGTTTACTTATAAACCCTTTGACTCTTTCTTCTTTGTATTTTTGTTTTAAGATTTCCCAATTTTCCAAATTTCATTTGTTTTGATATTTTTTCTATGATCCATAACCTATTGCTTTTTGTTTGTTAGGTTTGTATTCCACCATCCGGTATACAGGATGCCCTTTATGTATGGAATATAGTATATATCTCGGTAAATATCGAATGTATTTTTCGATATGAAAGTTGTTTAACATTTTATTTCCCATAATAAAGCAGCATTCAGTTGTTTTTATTTCAGAAAACAAATGAGTAAGGAAAAACAATTGGGTTTTTTTAAATGGCGTTGCACCCTTTCATTAGGCTCCTTGATATAGATTTTTTTTCTCTTTTCGATGATATAACATGTTAGTACCCGTATTCGAGAAAAATTTTCCAAAAAATCTATTATAATTAGATCGATAACATTAATCCAGATATCCTACATCACAATAAAACAAATGAACGTGTACGTTTCTTATTAAACTTTGAAAACAAAACGAAATTAGCAGTAAAGTGGCTTTCAGCGCAACGAATGTTCATAATATTCACCATTAACTGCAAGGCAGTGGCATAACCTATCATAAAAAGCCTGAAATAATCACCGTTTTTTGAAAATGGTCAAAATTCCATTAAATGTCGACGTTTTAGATTATTGTAAGCAACTTTTGAAGAATAAAATTTTGTTTAATAAAATTTTTTCCGTCTGTATGTACGTGCGGTACTTTGTCAAATTTCCCAGATGGCTCGACGGATTTTGAAAAAAATTTTGCGACCCCAAATGGCACCTAACTTTTTTTCAAATAGCAACGAAAATGTTTTTATTAAATTTTTCGAAAGACTTTCTTTGTCTGTGCACAACCTACAAAAATTATGTCATAGTTAAAAAACTAAAAATGTTTTTTTGGCAAAAATTTTGGCGTATACAGGGTGGTTCAAATTCGTAGTTCACCATTGGGATCCCCGCAACGGTGAGAAATATAGTGTACGTTAAATGAGGGCAAAGTTGCCCCTTTTTTTTTAAAAAAAAGAAGGCGCACTTATATTCTTCAAAATTCTTTGAAAATAAATGACGTATCACCGAAAAACTGAAAATGTTACATTTTAAACGGTCGAAAAATTTCAAAAACGAATTTTAGTTTTCTTATTTTACATTAAAAAAAGTTCCAAGGGTCCCGTGTTAAAAGTAGGCAAGCGAAAAGTTTTCAGGTTGCATATGCATACAATTTGGGTAAATGCGTGTAAGTTGTTTTTTTGTTGCTTCCACCATTCCAATACTTATTACTTGTTTTGTAACAGCCTAGTAATGTTCATCCCTTAATCTGTTCTCAGAAAATTAACAAAACATATTGCTTAGTTATAGGCAAGCGGTGGCTTTGGTTATAGTTAGAATCACGCACAAAAAATGAATATAATGGATTTTTACATGGTCGTTGTACATGACACAAACTATTGTTTTGTACTGCCACGATGAAAATTTGTGGAAAGTAAAATTTCTTGTTCCAACTCTATAATAGAAGTTGTGCTTGTGTCACATGTGTTGCTCGGTGCCCTAATTTAGAACTTTCAATCGCACTCTTAAATTTTTAATTAAATATTTCGATAAGTATTTATTACAATAGCTAATTAGTCGCCCAATTACTAGCGTGTACGTTGCAGATGAGCGTCTGCAGAGTATGAATGAATTAAGTATTCTTCCCCCTTGCCCACCGGGACACAAAAAGAACTGAAATTTCTTACCAGAGAATCTTTGATGGGCATTCCAATCTAAATATCAGCGTATCAGTATACAATGGATCTGCCTTAGAAGAAGGTCCTTGATCAAATGGTCAATGATGCTGAGAAATTTCGCAAAAGTTTTACGATTGGATCCATGCTAACTTTTGCACCCTGAAAAAGAATTAATAAGTGTACTTAATAATGAATAAATATTTACAACTTTTCAGCTTTCCCCTTTGTTATCTCAAAACAAATAGGTGATTAGATATGGCCGATTTGATCAATGATTACAAGCACGAGAGAACAATAAGTTGAGGTTTGGAATATGCGAATTTAATTATTTCCCAATCACTACATATTGAAGGAAGTTTCTAACCAAATTCGAAGGTACCCTCACCGCAATAAACATAGGCCAATTATTTACCTCCGTTACACATTTGTAATCGTACGTGAATTTCTATCAATCAATCAAAACGTATATGGGCGAAATCGGTTTCGGAGAGGAACTAAACGTAAAGAAAGTACCTATAAATTATGTCCAACCCTCTTTATTTACGACCCTATAATTAACTATTCGAAAACAAATTAGGAGTTTTTGGATCTCCCACAGATCTTTAACGGTGCACGAATGCGGGGGGTTTCTCGAAGTTTCCCTTCCCTGAAAATGGTAGAGATGGGTGCAGTGCGTACGTTGCAATGTTAATTTGTTCGCAGTTCGAATCCCCCAACTGTTTAAAGCGCGAAATCTTATTCCTCAGTAGTTCAGTTTCAGGAACAATTATTTCCATCTCATGGATTAATGCATTTCTAATGTGTTAAGGTAAATGTTAAACGAGGCTTTAGGTACATTGGACACGACAGACTTCGTGGAACCGCACACCGGGGTGTTAGGGACCATAACTACAATTAGTCAAGCCACATATAACTTACACTGACGGGTCGTGATGTCAACTTCGTCAACGATTGATTTTTACGATTTCTGGGGATCGATGTATTACGACAATTGCGATTTTACACTACGTGCACTCGTATTTATTGACGGTACGTGGAATGTTTCATGACACGTATAATATTTAATTGAGTTACATATAGGAAGCACATCATCAAATCCATTTCGAACCGAGAAGTTCGAATTTGTATGTCCAGTGATTCGGTTAAAATGACTAAAACGTGTTTTGCGGTAAATTAAAATTTATAACAATGAATGTTTTAAACGAAGCTGCACACTTCCGAATCGAATTAGCATCGCAGGTGGATGAGGAAAATGTATGGGACATTACAGATATTTTTAGTCTCAAATGATGCCGCATTCGAAAGTAAATCAAGTCAAATCGATTGTAAATTGTAATTATTACGTGTCAAAAATTTTAATTTCTTTATTCCACTAGTAAGTTTAGTTACCTATTCAGTAGTGGACTATCCACAGTTGACACATCAGGCTTAACTTAGGGGTTAGATGAGTTGGGATTTGAGTTCCACTTGTTATGGAAGTCCGAATAGTGGAATTTTTCTAATCATGAATGATATTTTCAAGCGCCAGTTTATCGTAGGTATTATGTATATTTATTTATTTATTTATTTATTGTTACAAACTACACAGGGCACAGCCCTAATTACGTAGCAGGTGTCTATTATCTATTAATTAAGGGTTGCTGAATAATAAGTATATAAATCTAATATATTATGTTATCAAAAATCTCTAAACCTTCCCCATATAGTTTTATTCGTTGAAGTTTTTAAAGTTAAAAGCGACTATAGTTTCGGCGTACTGCCATCATCAGGCGATGTGAAAGTTAACAGGAAAACGGTAAATTACAAACGTTGAAGACGGATAAGACGAACATGTTGTTTTTTTAATTATTAACTGGCCGAAGCCAAGTGAAAAAACCTGAAGGGTGGTTAAAACGGAAAGGTTGTCCTAAGTTTCAAGACGAATTATTATCAAGCCTTGTTAAGACAACCAACCGGAGGGTTGAATTATTACATTAAAGTTGGATTAACACATTTCAAAAGAACGGGGGGAAAAAATAAACTTATAAAAGTATGATTGTCAATCATTTCGAGACATGCCGTCTGCATGATCTCGAATTTAAACTTTACTTAAATAATTTAAATATGTAGTCACCTCAATAGTTTCAATACTTTTATAAGTTTATTTTTTTTTCCCCCCGTTCTTTTGAAATGTGTTAATCCAACTTTAATGTAATAATTCAACCCTCCGGTTGGTTGTCTTAACAAGGCTTGATAATAATTCGTCTTGAAACTTAGGACAACCTTTCCGTTTTAACCACCCTTCAGGTTTTTTCACTTGGCTTCGGCCAGTTAATAATTAAAAACAACATGTTCGTCTTATCCGTCTTCAACGTTTGTAATTTACCGTTTTCCTGTTAACTTTCACATCGCCTGATGATGGTAGTACGCCGAAACTATAGTCGCTTTTAACTTTAAAAACTTCAACGAATAAAACTATATGGGGAAGGTTTAGAGATTTTTGATAACATAATATATTTCAACCCCCATTTCGAGGAACGATGGATCCAACTCAAAAAAAAATAATAAATCTAATAATGACATTCAACTAAAAAATGCTACAAACTTTCACCTACAAAAAATTAAAAATATATGATACTGTTGGGGTGTAAGAAGCCCTACTAATTTTTTTTTCTTTTATCCTTAATTGAAATCGTAATGTTTTATTAATTGTTTGGAAAAAATGTTAAATATTACAGTAAAGTCTAAATCTAGTAAACTAAATAATTCGTTGACAAGTCATTATCAGAAACGGTTTATTGTAAGCGTACGTGACTACAGGTACGTGTAAAAAAGGTACACTTCTGGCAGATACACGCGGAATTTTGATTTGCATTAGAGTTAAAAGATAACTATCTTTGATCCTGTAATTCAGAATATTAAAAGCCAACTGCATTAAAATTATATTTCTCCTATTCACTAAGCTTTGGATTTCAAAAACTTTCCTTAGTTCAACCGATCTAACACTGTTATAGTTAGGATAAGTGCCAAATTTTTTATAATAGACAATTCAACTCATGTATAAAAAATCGCATAAGCCGCAGTGTAATTGTCACTTTGACAGAGGCAAAAGTTACCTGCAACTTTTCCAGCGACAAATGCACTAGTGGTTTTTTCACTTATTCATTTTGGAACAATTATCGCATTATCCTTTCCCATATGATTAGCTTGACGTCTGTCAATAATTGACTAGTTTGGTGAATTTCTTGTTCGTTAAATTGCCCTGCCGAATTACACTCGAGGTTTGTATTTAAACCGAGTAAATTTGGGTTGTTGCAATTCAAATCTGTTTCCTTTTAGCAATTGGACTCGAAAAACTGTCAACCTAAAAATGCTCCACCTTCGGTGTCGCATTTTTATTAGTTGACAGTTTTTCTCGTCTAATTGCTAGGCAACAGATTTTCGTTACCTTAACAACCCAAATTTACTCGGTAAAATACAAACCTCTTGTGCAATTATAAGTGAGAAATCGTAAAAACTTATTTTGGACTTTTTCAATTGCTTTTATTGAATTACACGTGTTTGGATGCCAAACTGTGCTAGCATATTCAAGCTTTGGTCTAACTAATGTAAAATAAAGTCGTTTAACTGTACTTATGTTTTTGAAATTCTTGGTTTGCCTCACAATAAAACCCAAAGTTTTGTATGCACCAGCCACTGTAATATTTATGTGTTTATTAAAGTTCATTTTATCATCGTAAGTTACTCCAAGATCCTTTATGGAAGTTACACGTTCCAAACTTAACCCGTTAATTTCATAATTAAAAAAGAGTGTACTCTTCTTGCGCTAAAACGATAATACATTGCACTTTTTTATGTTTAGAGGTAATTTATTCAAACGGCGCCACTGATACAATTTATTAAGATCATTTTGAAGATTTAAACAATCAGAAATACTGGTTATAGGCATAAATATTTTTTGGTCATCCGCGAAAAGTAAAGATTGACAGTTACTAAACTGAGAAGGCAGATCATTTATAAAAATCAGAAACAGCAAAGGTCCCAAAATAGAGCCTTGCGGTACTCCAGAATTAGCTTCAAATTTGCCTGATGTGTTACCATTAAATTTCACTGCAAGTTTGCGACTGCGTAAATAAGAAGCAAAAAAGTGTAACAAATTGTTTGATAGGCCATATATTATTTACTCTATGGCCATACTGATAAAGCTTTCTTAACAACAAAATGTACTGAAATGCCTTCCTAAAATCTGTATAAATCACATCCATCTGATTGTTTCTTTCCAGACACTCATAGACATGATTTGTGAAAACATGTAAGTTAGAAATTGTGGATTTATGGGGAATGAAACCGTGTTGAACTTCTGAGATAACGGGCCTAACCTGACGCAACAACTTCTCATATATAATTACTTCAAAAAGTTTCGCAGGAGCTGAGATTATAGTAATAGGTCTATAATTTTCAACATTGGAAGTGCTTCCTGCCATATGCAAAGGCATCATGATATTATCTTTCCAGCGCTCAGGAAATTTAGCTTGACTGATAGATAATTTATATATGTAAAGAAGTGGTTGCTGCAAATATTCCGAACAGCCCTTTAAAACATATGGTGGTATCAAATCAGTCAGATCAGTCCCTGCAGATTTCAATTTTTTCACTGCCTTATTATAATCTTCAACACTAATCTCAAGATCGTTTAGCATATCTAAAATTTCATTTCGACTAATATCTTTAAAATCGGTGTTGTAAGTACTCGTACTACCAACATCTGAATGTACTGATTCAAAGAATTTCGCAAATGTTTCACAAGCTTCACTATTCGTTAATTCCTTTTCATTCTGTTTTATGGCTGTTTTATTTAAATTCGAAGCGCGATTCTTGTTGACGAAAGTCCAAAAATTATTGACTGAATTATTGATATTAGCCTCCACCTCCTTTACATATAGTTTACCTATACGTCTTATCAGTAAGAAGTTTCAAATCCTTTCTTATTTTTTTGTATTGGCTAAAGTGGATTTCCGAAATGCGTTTCGTTTTATTATAGACAGATTTCAATTTACATAGTTGAATAATTTCATTTGTAAACCATACAGGATATTTTGACCTTTTTTTTTGATGATAAGGGATCGCAAACATCAAAGATACCATAAATCATGAAGTAGAACTTTTCTACAGCAATATTAATGTCTGTACAACTCATGACTTCCGTCCAGTCCGCATCTCTTAAAGCACGCACTAAATTTGCAAAATTGCATTTCTTAAAATTATAATTAGATATAAGTAGTTCAGAGTCACAAATGTGCATATTGGTGGATGTGGCATCGATTTTCACAATCAGTGATGGATGATACATATCATCCTTTATCCAAACTATCTATCAAATCATTTAAAAAATGCACTTCCGCTAACGCTACTATTCTCAGGTTTCTTTTTTAACTTTCTAGTTTTTCTTCTTACTTTTTTTATTATATCATCTATGACTGCGTAAAACTCCGACAAAGCTCTTCTACTTGTCCTAAATACTCTTTAGAAGAGAATTTCTGTGATGGGAATTGCCAGTCTTCGTGTTCTACGTGTTGATCTTCTTTATTTCTAGTTGTTTGGTCTGTTGTTAACATTCCCTCAAAGTATTCCTTCAATCTCTGTATAATATCTTCTTCTTCTGTCACTTACTTTTTGCTTCCTTTGTTTTAATCTCATTAATTGTCTGTGATATTCCTTTCCCACGTTTTCTGTTTGGCTTCTTTTACCATTTCCTTCACTTTATTTTTTTGATCATTATAATCGTTAAATTTGTCACCATATATTTACTACCCAAGTATTCTTTCCATCTTAGTTTTTTATTTTTTACTTCCTTTTTCAGTTCTTTGCTCCACCGATTGATTGTTGCTGCCTGTATCATGCTCCCTTTAATACGTAT